TGCATCACCAGGGAGGGCCCCATACTTATTTTTAATGCACAAAACTAAATAACAAAAATGGTATTTTTAGAGAAATAATTAAACATAGTAGAGTTTCATATATCACCTTTAACTTTGAACAGAGTGCCTGATTATTTGTGGCTTACTTAGGTTATTGACATAACATGGTATATGTGTTATAATTACTGTACCACTATTGATAATATTATTAACTAAGGTGCAATTTCATTAAGTTCTACTTTTTGCTAGATTATGGATTTTGACAAATATGTAATGACATGTATTGGATGATACTGTAATGACATATGTATCAGGATGATACTGTCATAGCAGTATCATTAGAATAGAGACAGTATCAATCAGAATAGCTGTCCTAGAAATCTCTACCTGGAATCCTGGCCACCACTGATCTTTTTTACGGTTGATACAGTTTTGTTTTTTCTGGGCTATTTTGTCATTGGACTCAGATGTGTATACCCTGTAGTTAAGTTCCCTCTGTATCTTTTTGTTGTTTTATAGCTCATTTTTGCTGCTGTATAATATTCCCTTGTATGGATCTAACAGTTTCTTTATCCATTCATTCACATATTGAAAAACATCTTGGTTGCTTGCAGTTTTTGGCAATTAAGAATAAAGTGCTATATGGGACTATGGTGATGGCACACTGGTGACTCGGTAATGGGAGACCCATGGGGATTACAGTTGAGATGAAAAAAAAAAAGTACAAAATGATGTAAAAATAAACTATTATAAAGAAAAAAAAGAATAAAGTGCTATAAACATGTACAAGTTCTTGTATAATATTAAAGCCTCAGTTCAAGTGTCGGTTAGAAACATAACCGACAGATCATACTTTAAAACTATTTAGTCTTGGCCCTCCCTGGTGGCGCAGCCGGTTAAAGCGCAGCACTGAGAATCTGAAGCCACTTCCGCATGAGTTCGATTCCCGCCTGCCGCCTGCCCCCGGAGGAGACCACATGGCGAGCCAGACCTCTCCTGACCCGCCCGCTGCTCCCCTCAGAGTGTACTTCGTCGATCTGCCTGTTCTGCTCCCCACTCTGTCTCTGGTGAAGCCTCTCACCGCCCCTGAGCCTCTGGCCTGTACCCCAGTTCTGTATGAATAAATAAATAAATCTTAAAAAAAAAAACTATTTAGTCTTGTAGGAAATTGCCAAAACATCTTTCAAAGTAGTATATGTGTTGATTGATTTCTGGTTTCTCTGTTTCACTGATTTGTTTTTTTTTTTTTTCCCACTAGTATCACTGTCTTTATTAACAACTACAGTGAGTCTTGAAGTCAGGTAGTGTTATTCCTCCAATTTTTGACTTCAAAATTGTGTTGGTTTTTATGAGTTAGTCATTTCTGTATGAATACTGTCAGTTTATTGATGTCCTCAAAGTAACTTGCTGGGATCTTGGCTATAATTGCATTGACTCTGTAGATCAAGATGGCAATAATTTATATTTTAGTATTCATGAATATGGAGTCTCTCCATTTATTTAGACCTTGGATTTCATTCATCAGTTTTGTAGTTTTTCTCATAGATTGTATACATTTTTTTGCCAGGTTTATGAGAGTCTATATGTGGTAAAATAGCACTTTTTTAAGTGATCTGTGGTTTTTTACTTGAAACTCTAGTAGTTGACTTTTGTATTGATATGTGTTAACCTTGTGTTTTGCAACTTTATTTTTAGGTGGTTATTAGTTCTACGGGTTTTTTGTTTGTTTGGTTGTTTTTTGCTGATTCTGTGGTATTTTCTACATCAACTATCATGGTACTTTTGAGTATAGATGGCTTTATTTCTTCCCTCCCAATCTGTATACATTTTATTTTCTTGTGTTATTGCATCAGTTTCTAATTTTTTGTTTGTTTTTAAGATTTATTTATTTATGCTTATAGAACTTGGGTAAGTCAGAGTAATGGTGCGGGAGAGAGTTCACCAGAGACAGAGTGGGGAGCAGAACAGGCAGATACACTGAAATACACTGCTGATGGGAGCAGTGGGTGGGTCAGGAGAGGTCTGCCACGCCATGTAGGTCAGCTCCCTGGTGGGGGATTGAACTCCTGCTGCAGTGACTTCAGAGATCTTCATAATGCGGAGCTTTAACCCATTGCACCACCAGGGAGAGCCCCTTTTTGTTATGTTTGTAAATGTATACCCATTTATCAAGTTGAAGAAGGTATCTTACTAATTTCCTGAGGAGTTTTTATCCTGAATGGGCATTAGATATTGTCAAATGCTTTTTCTGAGATTGTTCATCATAGATATTTCTTCAACTTGTGCATTGGGTTATATTACTTGATTTTCAAATAGTGAACCAAACTTGCATACTTGGAATACTCGGTTGTACCGTGTAACTTTTTTAATACATTTTTTATTCAATTTCTTAATATTTTGTTGGATATTTTTGCTTCTATGTTCATGAGAGGTAGTCTCTGACTTTCATTTTTTATAATTTCTTGGTTTTGGTATTAGGGTAATGATGACCTCATAGGATCAGGAATTACCCCCTATGCTTATAATTCATCTTTTTTTTTTAATGCATTCAGATTTATGTAGGGACAACAATCAATTTCTGTAGGGAAATTGCCTCCAATCAGTTTTTCTTTCTTGGTTAATGAACACTGTCTACTCAGATCATTAAATTATCAAACCTTGGTCAAGTCAGGTCTTTCTTATTTTCCCTCCTATTTTAAGAATTTGTTCTTAAGTCTGGTCTCTTGATGCTTTGCCAGCACTTGGTCCATGTTCTTGCCTTCTCTAGAATCTAAAGCTACCCCTTTTTTGGTTTTCGTATCATTATTCCAGTATCATTTTGTGCTTTTCACTGCCATTCAAGACACAACACTGATTTGTGAGTTTATAAATATTCATCATTTCCCCATTGTCTAAAAAGTAATAGGTAAATTGATTAGCCCAACCTACATATCCAGCTTCAGAGCTATGTCCAGTTCCTGGGAATGTCTTCCTTAGGCCATCCTTTATGCATACATTTACTAATGCTTCAAATTACCTGGAGAGTTTAATCAGTAAAGGACTTTCTGTTGTGGAACAAATATGGACAAAAAAATGGAGGTGGGAATAGACCATGTGTTAATGTCATTCTGATTTCAGAGGAAGGTTTGTGGTAGAGGTAGATCAAATAAAACAAGGCCTTAAACATATATATATATATATAAATACATTTTCCCACAAGAGTAAAAAATGAGGTGGCCATGCTCACAGAAATGAGTAAATGAGTAAATGTTAAATTACTATAAATGTTTCTTTATGGATTTGGGGGGGGGGGTTTCCCAGAAAATCATAACTCATTTTTTAAAAATTTTATTCTCAGGATCCAAGTTCGAAATATGGCAACTTTGAAAGACAGTAAGTACTTTGTGTCGTATGTGAATTAAGAAAAACTAAATTTTGACTAAAAAATTGCCTTTAAAAGTATCTTACTTTAGCCCATATTATTATTTTGTTAAAATTGATCATGTTATGTTGTATATAGTTTTGAGATTTGTTTTGATTCTGTTTGTAAGATAATAACAACTAGAAATAAATAAATATACATACACACATACATATAAAGCTAGAAAATATACATAATTTTTTGGAATATTTAAATAAGACTTTCAATACCATTTAATGTTTTAAATGTATAATATCTGTTCTTCTGTGTTTCCATTCTGCTGTCCTGTCTAAATAGCAGCTAGGTTTGTCCTTTCTTAAATACTTGTTCTAGTATAAAGTCTAGTATAGTATCCTGCTGCTAATTGTTGTCCTAAGTGCTAATTATCCTATCTTGCAGTTTGGGGGAAGTTACACTGTAACTTCTTTATCTTAATACAGCATTATTTTTCAGTTACCAGAAGACTAAAGTCAATCAAAAACATTCAGAAATTTACTAAGTCTATGAAAATGGTAGCAGCAGCAAAATATGCCCGGGCAGAGCGGGAGCTGAAACCAGCACGTGTGTATGGAACAGGATCTTTGGGTAAGAGAAGAGTGTCATATATAAAGAACAATTAAACATAAAGAAAATTGCTATTAAAGACTTTGACTTGGTGCCTATGGTATTTTAAAAATTTAACATTTACTCATGTTTTCATAAACTATTACAGTTAGAATTTTGGGGAGTCCCTGCTTTATGGTTAAGAAAAACAGAAGCACCTTGAAATCAAGTAACTTGCCAACCCTGACATACCTATATGGCTTAGCATCTGTTGTATGAAACTTTGTCAACTTAGCAAATGTGCGGAACATTTTTCAGCACTATTTATTATACCATTTAAAGAACCTGGAAACAGTGTAATAGACTGAAATGCTTGATCTTACCTTGTTACTTTGTGATGTGATGTTGTAGGGACAGTAGGGTGAGGAAGGTAGCACCTGCATTGGAGAGTTGACTACGTGGATATGGATGTGACTCGTGAATACATGAGTGGAAGGCTTAGATACTACTGGAAAGAAAGCCAAATTTGCTTATTTCCTACTTAAATGTATGTTATCTATGTATTAATATAGGTAATAATCTTTGCAAACTGTGTATGCCCTAGTTTTTGTACTCGTCTTCGTCTCTATTATTTTAATACATATTTATATTAAAGAAAATTTTGTCTGAAAAAATGATAGAGCAGTAGGCTTCAGCGAAAGTGACTCTGCTTTAAAAATGCTATATGTGGTTTTATGTGACAGGCATAGCAGAAAATTGCTAAGTTAGGTTTTATCATTCCCTGTCAGTTCCAACCATTTGCTGTTGAATCTGTTTTCTCTGGGTAGTATTAAGCATGTAGGTGGCTCATAAATCATTCTCTATCCTAGTTATATGAAAAAGGAAAAGTAATTTCCCTAGTCAACTTTTCCGCTGATAGGAATTTACTATAATTTTGTCTTCCCCAAAAAGTCAGTAATTGTAAATTACTTCTTTTTGTTAAGAAACTGACTTAAGTTTCTTAGTAGTAAAGAAATGATATAATATTAAAAATTCAAGTCAAAACTTCTCAATGCTTCAAACTGAAAAAAATACTAAACTGGGCCTTCCACTGTGGCGCAGTGGCTTAGGACGCAGTACTGCAAGCTTACTGCAGCTACTTAAGTTCAAGTTTGATCTCAGGCCCACCCTGGAGGTGATCCACATGGTACAGCAGACCTTTCCTGTCTCACCCGCTGCTCCCCTCAGCAGTGTATTTCATCGATCTGCCTGTTCTGCTCCCCACTGTCTCTGGTGAAGCCTCCCACTGCCCCTGCACCTCCTCTGGCCTGTACCCCAGTTCTGTATGCATAAACAAATAAATCTTAAAAAAAAATACTAAACTGGTAGGTATTAAATGGCTAATAATTTTAAACACTTGAAATTTAAAACAAGTGTTTAAGTTTAATATATAAAAAAAGAATTAAAAAAAAAAATCTCTGCATTCTCCTGACATTTAGAATCAAGTATTTTTAGGGAGAGTGCTCACTTAACAGAATTTGAGAATCATTCTCCTATACTGAAAAAAAAAAGTTAGTAAGAATTTTGTTAAAATGTGCAAGTGTGGCATCTTTGAAGATGCACCTTCCAGCTACAGGGAACACATGCTTACTGAAGTGCATTCTTCATTTGCACACAGGCAACACTTCCCATGGGCTGCTCCTAGCCAGTAGAGAGTAGGCTGTTTCTGGGAGACTTGGGGCTCCCCGCCAGGTTTTCTGAACTTTCTTTGGACTGCATGGTAAACCAGGAAGCTGTCTTCCAACCTTTCTTCATCTCTCCTTCCCTTGAGGCAGACTTGTATTGTGCTATGATGATTCTTCAGTGTCTTCCTGTTTTCTTTCATAGATATTTGCCCAGTAAAATCCCTGTATGTTTAATCTTGTTTAATCCCTTTGTGGTGTCCTTGGAAAATTAGATCAACAAGGTAAAATTGTTCTAGTGGCATCCATTATTTTAATAGCAACAGTATTCACAAGAATTGGATATATTATTTATATGAGCATGTAAGTAAAGATTCACTTCCTATTTTTTTAGGTTGTGTACTGAAGATAAGTATGTTTAGAAATCTGAGATCTAGACAAATTGGTACCTCTGTAAATTGTGATCTCTTCACAAGTTTTTAAATTGTATTATAGATTTCTTTTGCACATTATTTAAGGTAAATAGGCCCATTAGGAACTTCTGTCATAGATTTAAGTCTTTATGATTTTCAGGCTGATTATAAATGGTGTAAGTATACAGACAGTTGTGACTCTAGTTGCCAGATGCCACCTAAACTTAAATGTACCATTTTAAAAAGTCATCACTTCTGTAAATTGGGGATTATACTGTATTTATTTGTGTTATAAAGTGTTCTTGCTTTTTTGCTTGTTTTTTAAAGCTCTGTATGAAAAAGCTGAAATTAAGGCACCTGAGAATAAGAAGAAACACCTCCTGATAGGTGTATCCTCAGACCGAGGGCTGTGCGGTGCTATTCATTCCTCAGTTGCTAAACAGATGAAAAATGAGGTGGCCAATCTGACAGCAGCTGGGAAAGAAGTTATGCTTGTTGGAATTGGTGATAAAATCAGAGGTATCCTTTACAGGTAATTTAAACACATACTGTTCATCTTTAAAAGTATACTGCAAGCATGTATAAAAGTTTTTTTGATAGTTAAGCAAAGTGTGATTTTTTAAATGACTCGGGTTTTTGGTTGTTTTATTTTTCAAGGATATATGAGAATATGTAGATTTCCCGATTTCTGCTTCTCTTGTGTTGCTTCATCCAAACTATAAACAGATTGAACAGGAGATATCAAAAGCTATTGACATTTTTAAAAATGAAAACTCTGAGGAGGTATGCCTAGAAATGTCAGAAGTGAACAGTAGTTAATTAGAAAGCAATAAATAAAGGCAAAGAGAAGTACAAGATAAAGTTCTTAGTAGGTGCTAAGGGAAAGAAATAATCATAACCGAGTATGATAAAATATAAAACAATTCAATGAACAATGCCCTACTCAACATCTTGATACAAAGTGATATTTTCCCCTTGTTCCCTTTTTTCTTAACCATTAAGCTATTTCATATGTTTTTTCTTTTTCTGTAGGACTCATTCTGACCAGTTTCTGGTGACGTTCAAAGAAGTGGGAAGGAAGCCCCCTACTTTTGGAGATGCATCGGTCATTGCCCTTGAATTATTAAATTCTGGATATGAATTTGATGAAGGGTCTATCATCTTTAATAGATTCAGGTAGGAAAAATTTAGAAATCAAAGCTTTTATGTTTATGTTAATATTTTTAAGTAAGAAATATCTACTTAATAGTTTAAAAAATTATATTTCAGTCCTACAAATAATACAGAATTGAAACTCCTAGAAGAGGGGGCGGGAGGATGGACGTGGGGACAGAGACTGAAGGGAGCCCAGTAGTCTAAGGTAAAGGACTGTCAGTGTTTCAGTGGTGGGTACCTGAGGAGGTATGAATTTAGTCCCCTAAATTATATATACATATATCTATCTATTTTTCTAAGATTTATTTACGCATACAGAACTAGGGTACAGGCCAGAGGTGCGGGGACCATGACAGGATTCACAGATGGTGTGGGGAACAGAATAGGAGGATTGACGAAGTACATTGCTGAGGAGAGCAGTGGACAAGACAGGAGAGGTCTGCCCGACCATGTGGGTCACCTCCCTGGCCGGAGATTGACCTCATGCTGCAGTGGCTACAGCCTGCTTCATGGTGCTACGCTTTAACCTATTGTACCACCAGGGAGGGCCCTACATATATATGTATTGTAAACCAGTAGTAATCTCAATTTAAAAATACATGAATAAATAAACAAAAAAGATGCTATTTTGAAATTTACATTTGCGTCTGTCATTTCTAGGTCTGTCATCTCCTATAAAACAGAAGAGAAGCCTATCTTTTCTCTTGATACTATTGCAAGTTCTGGTAAGTTTTTGTAGTTTTTTATAGTAGTTTTTTTTATAAATAAAGGAAAGATTTTTACATTTAGGAAAATAGTGTTTCTCAGAGTGGCCTATTTCAGATGTAACAAATGATGTTGAGGTATTTATATCACTCTGTATTAGTGACTTCCATAATATTTTAATGCATTCTTTGCTTGATAGTTGTTAACTTCATCTTTCATTAATTACACAGAGAAATACTTAAGAGCCGTAATTAGACAAGGATTGAAACCATAGCCAGATATTGACTTCCAGCCTATATGTGGGAGCTAGAGTAAAATGACTTGCTCATTGGACATTCTAGAAATAATATTCTGGAACTGATTCAGTTTTTCTAAAGGTATTTTCTCCTGTGGATTTCTTCTACCCTAATATGTATGCCTTTTTCCCACCTACCCCCAATTATTTTTTTATGCATACAAGTACATAGGCCAGAGATGTGGGGGTCAAGTGGTGAGAGGATTCAGCAGAGACAGAGTGGGGAATAGAATAGGTAGATTGACTGAAGTACACTGCTGAGGAGAGCAGTGGTCTGTGTATCATATGGGTGAGCTTCCTGGCCAGGGATAGAAGTTGTGCTGCCATGGCTGAGATTTATTCCCTTGCACCACCAGGAAGACCCAAAGAGGTACACCTTTTTACATTTCAGCATCTCAAGTTGGGGTGCTGTTTCTTCCAGCCAGCGATGTGTCATTTTTAATTAATTTAAAATTATTTTAATTGCTTTCTTAGTGATAACATATATATGGTTTATAACTCATTGTATCTTAAGTTTGATGAAATATAGTACTGTTTCACCATTTTACTCTAATAAAAAGATTTTGAGGTATGTTGCTAAATTTCTGCATCACTAAAATTCATATCTGTTTCTAATTTTCTCATTCTTTTATATTCTAAGAAAAGTTTTTGTGACTGACACATTCAGATTCTCCAAGTCAAAGGTGAAATTAGGGTTTCGAATTATAGTATACTAGTTTATATTCTCTAGTTAATTTCTTCATTGAAAAACATTCACTGACTTACTGGCTTAATGCACAGTACTTTTAGATGCCGTGCAGAGCATTTTATAAGTTGCTTTAAATGTTGGATTAACTTTATAATAAAAGATTTTTATACTAGTAAGCATTTTACATTGAATCAGTGCACTGTAGGACATCAAAGAAATGTTACGTGTCTTAACAGAGAGCATGAGTATCTACGATGACATTGATGCTGATGTACTGCAGAACTACCAAGAATATAATTTGGCCAACATCATCTACTATTCTCTAAAAGAATCCACCACAAGTGAGCAAAGTGCCAGGATGACAGCTATGGACAACGCCAGCAAGAATGCATGTAAGCACCATCTAGCCCTGACTCTGTTACTGGTTCTCTGATAGTTTTGACTAATTACTATCTCTTTCCTTCAGTTTTCTCATCTGAAAAAAATAGAAAAATAATGTCCTTTGCTTTAAAAGCAGTCTGTTAAGTAGCAGGCACTAAGTTTGCAAATACTTTAGTATTGCATTATAAAAATATCTTTATAAAGATTTTTGAGAGGCTTATTTATACCCAAGATGAAACAGCCTTATTTTTAGATTAAGCAACATAAGTCTATGAATACACAATGACCCTTTTCTAGTTTTAGATTTTGTTGTCTAATCTTTTTGCTTGCTTTGTAGCTGAGATGATTGACAAGTTGACTTTGACTTTCAATCGCACCCGCCAAGCTGTCATCACGAAAGAGTTGATTGAGATCATCTCTGGTGCTGCAGCTCTGTAAGTAATTGAAGACAGCCTTCAAAGCATTGTTTTCCGTGTCTTTTTTTTTTTTTTTTTTTTTTTTGCTAATTTAGCCATTGGATATTCAAAAGCTTTGTTTCATTTTGTCTATTGAACAGTGACCCATTGTTTAATCTTAGTAACTTTTCACTTAGGATAACTGGGATCTCTGGTTTATTCTAATTGTTTCAGCTGAAACATTCAAGCTTAGTTTTTTCTTAGAAATCATTGACTTGTTGGCTTTCACTTTTTAGAGCATTAGGGATGAGAATGTTGATGGTGTCATTTATAAATTTTTTCTTTGGAATTTAAAACATTATGAACTAAGCTTTCTAAGTTACAGGATTTGTTACCAATTATCTATGAATCAGCGAATAGTGAGAGGGTACAGAAATTTTTTTGTTATTAAATTTTTTGTGTCAGTACTATAAGTCAGTGTAGTGCTTTCCTTGAGAGAATTTCTTGGTTGTCTAGAAAAGTTAACATACGAGGGTTAATAGGTGAACATTCTACTCACAAAGGTATTAAATTGAACAGCCACTGTGTACAAGGTATAGTGGTGGGCACAGTGTCACAGAATGTGTCCTTTCTATCGGGGCATTTGTATTCTAACAGGGTAAGACAAATATGTAGATAATTGTGATGAAAGAGAAAATGCTTAATTAATAAGTTACTTTTGACTCTTTTTTTCACCTACTTATTTGCTATCGGGTTCTATAAGTTTTAACTTGTAAATATCCCGACTCTTAACCCTTTTTACTCCGCACTTAATGGAATTTTTGTAATTTCTCTTAGAAGTTAAAAAGGCTATCTTTAACATACCTTTTCAGTGCCATACTCAGACCTAGACACCGTAATTGTAGTTGTGACAGTGTTTGCTAAGCTCACATCTTAACAGGGAAGACAGACCTTATGTAAGATGTTGCAGTGGATCAGGAATCAGCACTAAATATGTTCTGGCTCTGAGAAAGCTTTTACATATTTAAAAGGTTATAAAAAAGACAATATGTGACCCACATATTTGGCTAAAATACTTTCTGAACCTTATATGACAATATTATGAGGAAAATAGTAGAATCTATTCTATATTACATAATCCTTGGGGGAAAAAACACAGCTGGCTTGATAATGTGTGATTCTTTTTTTTTTTTTTTTTTGGTCAAGCAGCACTCTCCAGTATAGTACTTTACCACTACAGTTTCTCACTTCCTTAAACTTCAGCCACATTGATCTACTTACAGTTCTACAAACACATCATGCTTTTCTCTCCTCCAAGGGGTGGTACATGCTATTGCCTGAATTGATATTCTTTTCTTCCTCATGCACTGTTGATTCTTTTTTCCACTGATACCTCTTCTGTCTGTCCTAACTAGCTGCCAGACTCCTTTCTTTTGGAAAGTCTTCCCTTACAGTTGGGATGGGGTACTCTGTTAGCATCCTGTTTCCCTTTATCAGCAGTTAACACCATTTTATTAGGAATTGCCCGTTGATTTGTTCATGTGGCTTGGAAGGGACTGTGTCCTGACTCAGTTGTGTGGCCCATCATTTGGCACACATTTCTTCAAATATTTTTTACATGAATGAATGATGTACCTTACGAAGTGGGGTGTTAGAAGAGGGAGAGACGTCACTTCTCATCTTTTTGGCTAACATCAGGTGTAGAAGAGGGAGAGATAATTTTTTATTGGGTATTTGAAAATGTGGGTCTATGTTTGGGAAAGGTTCATCACTTATATGGGATTTAGTGGGCCTTCAGTACTGTTTCTAAAAGGTAGAAACTGTAAAGGATGCCAAAAGACACAAAACTAACTGACACCATTCCATAAGTAGTTACTGGATTCTTCAACTTGGCCTTCCAAGCATGACTGTTACGACTAACCTGTCTCTCAGCCTGGTCACTAATGTTCTGTTAGGCCCTACGGTTTAGTGCAGTGATGAATGCTGCCACCACTTACTAACTTGATCTGCTTGATTAAGATACTCTTCTGTGATAGGGTTTTGTCATTGTTAACAAACTAATAAGGGATTAAACATGTACATTAGCCTCCTCACTATATGTCTTGCTGCTGATGCTAAACTGAGGTCCTCTTAGATGGTAAATATGAGGAGATCTAGAGGAAGAACCTACATTCTAAAAGTTCTGGCTGTATGAGATGGTTCAGAAAACCAAGGTTCTTTTTGTGCATTTGAGAAAGGAAAGCTGTGAGACGCTTCTACAGACTTGAGGACCAATGGGGAAAACCTGAGTAAATTTAAGAAAATCAAGGGAAATAAAGCAAGAGAAATTGGGGTGTACAAAGTGAAAGTTTTTAAAAATTAAAATAATAGGAAATTACTGAATCTTCACTTTCTAGAAAGTAATTTAAATCCTTTACAAAAATTAGCTGCGCAATCCAAGGTTGGGTTGCTTATATGAATGGACTTGGATTCTCTGTAACCTATTAGTTATTCTGTTTAGTGGTTTAAGTTAAGCTTTCAGAAAAAAGTAAATTTTGTAATCTTTCATAATCTTGCCTACAAGTGCATGAACATGGTTTTAGTACATCTAACCAGATTGAAGTGAGTAACCTTTTAATATCATTGAACCTACCATAAGAGAATATTTTTATTGACTATACGGGATTGTTAAGGTAATGAATGATGCAATGGATGCAGTGAACATTTTTGGTTGGAAATTCTACATGATTAACTAGCATGTATTGCTTTTTGACGGGTTTGTTTTTGTTTGTCTTTTCTTCTAATATAATAACCAGGGATTAATGAAAATCAAGTATCAACCCCAGATAAGAGGTAAAGTGGTCATATTTCACATTCTCCCCAAATCCCTTTAGAAAAGAAACCTAGTCAGATATAATTGGAGCTAATTTAAAAAGTCGTGTTGATTCTCTAATTTAGATTGCTGGACCCATTTATAGTGGCAATCAGCTTGGGAGCATATGGTGAATGCTAGGGGCCTTGTTAGTGTTTTAGATTCTGGGGATAGTTTGTCTCGTGGGACTCCTCCCCTAACTCCCCTAGTACAGGGTACCCAGACCAAATTGGAGAACCACTAGTGTAGCATAACATTTTGCTGTGTAGTTAATTCCTTAAACACCATTTAAATATGTATTATCTCTTGACATTATATTTTTTCCTAAAAAAAAAAGTTTTTAACTTGTTCTATACTTTGTTTTTCAGGTAAAGAAGGAAATTCCAGCCAACTGATTTTTGGTTTTAGTTTACTGCTATCCTTGTGAGAAGAAGTTAATTTCTCAATTATCTGAATTAAGGACAGCAAAATATTTGTAAATTATCTTACAATAAACAACTTAACAATACGAAATTCAGTCTTTTTTTTTTAATATATGAACAACAGTTTTCAAAATGCAGTGTTATAAACTTAAAAATACTAACGTACTACTCTTCAATGTTTGGTTTTTCAGTAAGACTGCCTTAAAAGTAGTCTTTTTGGATCCTTGGAGAAGGAAGAGGAGACGAGCTACCACTTAAGCACTTGTATATTTCTCCTTCAAAGAACAGCAAAATGAAGTAAAAATGTTAGTGGAGTCATTTACTGTTTTTCATATGTTAAAAATATAAAGTTCATTCTCAGTGAACAGTTTCATATTTATTTCTCTCCACTTTAAAAAACCAGTAGCTAGGGCCCTCCCTGGTGGCTCAAGAGGTTGAAGCAAAGCACTGTGAGGCTATCTGCAGCTGCTGCAGCACGAGTTCAATCCCTGGCTAGGAGGGTGGCCTACCTGGCATGGCAGGCCTATACTGGCTCAACCCCCTGCTCCTTTCAGTAATGTATTTCAGTAGATCTGCTTGTTCTGCTCCTTATTCTATCTTTGGTGAATCTTCTCACCCTCTGCACATCGGGCTTGTGCCAGATTATTTATATGCATAAATAAATAAATCTTTAAAAAAAAACAAAACAGTAGCTAGATAAATTTATTTACATAGAATTATTACAACTGTGTTACTTTACCAAACTATATTGCTAAAAACAAGTTTAACAGTGATTAATATAAAAATTGATTAGCAAGCATAAACCTAGAAAGAGCAAAATGTATATATGAAGGTGGCAGGGGAAGAAACTGAAACTTCCCTGAAGTTATAAGTCATTCATGTATGGGTCTGTGAATAATGCTGTGAGAAACAGCTGGCCACAGTAAGGCATCAGGTGGAGTATAGTGTGAACAAAGTCCAAGACACCCTTTAGGAATATTCGGGCGCTGCTCAGCTTTATGTTGTGCACCTAACACATCTCCAGTTTGCAGGATAGCACAGCACTTCGGTGAGTGAATTGTGTTTTAGACTATAGAATTAGAAAAATTTAAGCTTGTACTCAACATTAGAACATTGAAAATGTCAAACTGACCATGGCTGACTCGGGTTCAAGAGAGTACATGGGAGCGATGCCCTGGGGTTACAACTCTTCAGGTATTCTAGAGCATGGTTGTTCCCCTACTGATGGGTGTCCTCTTGGGTGTGTGGCTGTCCTGGGTTTTCTCTCTGCCTTTCTGAGGCATGATTCCCTTTGTCTTTTTTCTTGGATTGAGTCTCACTTCTGTTATACACTTTCTCCATGTAAGTTGGGAGTGAGCCTTTTCACACCTTGTATAGCTTAAAATACCTGTTCTATCACATTAAATGGTCAGTTTGGGTAGATATTAAGTTAAAATTGGTTTGCCCTCAGTTTGAAGGCATTTGGCTTTGGTTTTCACATGACTTCACAAAAGCTAAGCAGTTTTAATTTCTGAATCTTAGTGAATTCTCTAGAAGTTTTTAGGTCTGTTTGCATTGCTCAGAAATGTCAGAATAATAATTTTGAATGAGTTCTCAGGCAGATTTTTGCACACTTGGTATGAGTACTTCTGTAGATTATGTTGTAACAAGGGGAGTTGGTAACTACATTGAAAGAAATCGGCACTGCTCAATTGCTCTCAAAAAGATAGTGCACTTTCACTAATTGTATGTGATACTGCTGCCCCTACTCCAAAACTTTAGCAGTCTCATGGTGAAAAGACAGCTCATTCATTGCCCCTTTTCATATTAAAACAAGTTCTCTAATGATAGCCATTAGTTATCAGCTATGTATAAAGGAAAACAAAACAATGTAGGAAAAGGGCAGCTTTTTAAATACTCTGCAGTTTTCCATTTTCTTACATTTCTAGTATGGGTGGGTTTTGAGAAATCTGAACAAAGACCTAGTTTGTACAACCACCCATAAGCAACATAGCTTTATATAGAACAGCAGTTAAGACAGCAGATGTTGGAGTCAACAGCATTGGAACCCAACTCAATCACTACCACTTAGGAACCTTGAAAAATTTTAATATCTGTAAAATGGAGATTGAAGTGGTCCACTCCACCATTCTACATAAGACTTTTGAGAAATTAGCTGCACTTCACATATTACTTGCAATGTACTTGAAGTGTTTATCTGTTTAAATATTGCCTGGTCTATGTAAAGTGAACATAGTGTTGGCTGATACTTTTCTATATATTAGTGCTCTTAAACTCTTAAATTTAGATACAAAAACACTTCCAGACAAGAGTTTACTCTGGAGAGAATTCAAGCCAGTAGTGTCAGTGTATAAAAAGTTACAGTTGATGTGCATGTCAGTCGGCATCCCCCCTCCAGTTTGAGAACACAGCCTTGTCTGGATGAAATACCGACACTTGAGTCCTCAAGAAACTGACCAGCAAATCAGATCTGGAGAGACTGGAGCAAGATGTCCACATGCTGTGGAATTGAACACATAGGAGTCTTCAGAGTAAACTTGGTGGCGCAATGGGTTAAAGCACAGTGCTGTGGGGCTGTGTGGGTTCCATCCAGGCCAGGAAGGTGGAGCACATGGTGTAGCAGACTGCCCGCTGTTCCCCTCAGCAGTGTATTTTGGTCAGGCTGCCTGTTAAGCACTCCGCTCTGGTAGATCTCACCCCCTTGTACCTTTGGCTTTTATGGCTAGTTCCTTTATGGGAAACTGAATAAATCTTTAAAAATCCCCAAGTAGCATGCCTGCCACTTTACTGCGTGTCGACAGCGCTGTGTGTCATGACGGCACAACTACAATGCTTACCTTAGTAAGTTTGTGTTAACTGTTGTTGGGTAGCACCAAAAGTGCAAGATAGTTTCCATCTTGTTTCTTAAGAATTTGCCCTTCACAAACTTTTGTTTCTTCTTGCTTTAATAAATGTTCACAACTTTCAGTTTGAAATAGGTGCACTTACTGCACCTGAGACAACACCAACTGAATAAAGTGACACAATGCTCAGCTACAAACTGCTCTTGGCACAGGTGACTTCTGCCCAGGACCCAAACCTCCACATTGTTTTCACTCTCATCCACCAAGATGGAATAATAAGGATCAGAGCTTTTACAGTGAATCAGAGTTGCACTCTTGAGGAAGTTTACTCTCTAGCTGTAGTCCTAGTCTGGATTCCTCACAGCCATTACCCTCTGCCCCCACAGCTCATATAAGGCTCTGTTTCCTTTCCTCCGCTTTATATCGGCTCTAATCATTCTCTTTTAAAAATTTATTTATGGATGTATATAAAAAAATGGGTGTAGGCCAGAGGTGCAGGGGGTGAGAGGACTCACCAGAGACAGGGTGGGGAACAGAACAGGCAAATTGACAAATCTACTGCTGAGGGGAGCAGCAGGCAGCCATGTGGGTTAGTTCTCTGGCCCGGGATGGGCCTCATGCTGCATTGGCTGGTGATAGCTTGATATTGCTGAGACTAAGGGAGGCCCCTCTAATGATTCTCTGTAAAAATAACATCTTTATTGAAATACAAGTCACATCATAAAATTCACTCTAAAGTGTACATGTAAATCATAGCACGGAAACATGTTGTTTAATGCATTGCATATACTGTTGAATTGTCAAAAACTTGAGTACTTACTGTCTACTAGGTCCTATACTATCAGACATGGAGCAGTGAGATGACCCAGTTCCTAATCAAGGAACAGATGATGAGTTTAGTTTTGGACATTCACCAAACAATTAAATTTGTAGTTGTATATGGTATAGCAACAGACCATTTTTCATAGAGGCAGTTAGTTAAACTGGTATTACCTCAGGAGAAATGTGGATTAAGGTTTTAGGGAATTGGGGCCCTCCCTGGTGATGTAACAGTTAAAGCAGCACTATGAAGCTATGTGTAGCCACTGCAGCACAAGTTTGATCTCCAGCTAGAGAGGTTGCCTGCATGGCATCACAGACCTCTCTTGACCCACCCGCTGACCCCTCAGCAGTGCATTTCAGTATATCTTCCTGTTCTGTTCCCCAACCTGTCTCTCGTGAACCCTCTAACCACCACAACCCTCCCCCCCCCTTAAAGAATCATGTAACTAAGACCACTGTATTGAACCATTAGGAGAGGAGAGAAAAAACATAAAAAGCATCAAAGGCATCACCGGATAAAGTATGTTTTATGTAATAGAAAGCAGGGTTTTACTTTTGGAGAACAGAGATAAAAATATGTAATAGAAGCAAAGGATATATAGTTTTATATTTGAATCAGAAACATCAATGAGTACTTTTAGGCTTTTAAAATACTCATGTTTTATAGTTCTGTTCAATAACGGCTTCTGAAGCAATGATGGCCCCGTGATAATGAATGTTAGCTATCACTTGTCTTGGTTTTAAGATTTATTTATGCATACAGAAATGTACAGCCAGAGGTGCAGGGGCAGTGAGAGGATTCACCAGAAACGAGTGGGGAGCAGAATAGGCAGATTGATAAAGTACACTGCTGAGGGGGGCAGTGGGCAGGTCAGAAGAGGTCTGCCGCGCCGTGTGGGTCACTTCCGGGGCAGGGATTGAACTCTCACTGAAGCGGCCACAGTTTGGCTTAGCTTCACAGTGCAAGGTTCCAACCTGCTGCGCCACCAGGCCTCCCATGTTCTAACAACTACTCCTTACTAAGAACAAGAACCCCATGGATTAGTCAAGTTGAGGATAGGAGCAATACAAGCTGAATCTAGAAAACTTTGTGCCATACGTAAGAAATTCTCAATGCATGGCAGTGGTACATTAAATGAATATAACAACTGGCTTGACAGAGTTCCCACTGGTCAAATGGGGGACAATATGAGCATCAAAAGAAGAGTGATGGTAATGGATTGTAGCTCTAAAAAAAAAAAAAAAAAGAATCTGACCATATGTAATGTAATGTTAGAAAAAGGAAGGAAACCATAGACTCTATTCATAAATGTAGAACTAGAAAAATCATTTTGTAACCAACAGTGTAGTAATTGATTCCATAAGATATTAGAAATGGAAACCCATCAAACCATTGGGGTTAAAGGTTGGGAAGCAGACTGGTCTC